ATATATATATATATATATATATGTATGTATATAGATATTTATATATGTATATATATATATATATATATATAGGTATATACATATATATAGGTATATACATATTATATATATGTATATATATATATATATATATATATATATATATATATATATATATATATATATATATATATATATATATAATATATATATATATATATATGTATATATATATATATATATATATATATATATATATATATATATATGCATATATACACAATAGAGTGTGCATGCGTTTCCTTGTTTGTGCTTGTGAGTCGTGTTCCTTTCATCCCTAATCCCGGCGCAATGCCGAACTGTGCACATTACTCAGTGATCCTGACGCCGTCTGTTGCAGGCGGAGTTTGGTGCAACGCCACGTGGGACCACATCCTCTGCTGGCCGCCGTCGCCGCCAGACACGCAGGTGGAGCTGCCGTGCCCTCCGCTCAAAGGGGTAGACCCGACACGTGAGTCCAGCTGCACTCTACTTAGGCTCCCTCGTCCTGGCTTGTGGTTGAGCTTCGTCGCTTCGGAGTGGAATTGAGGCGATAGCCATTTCTCATTGCAATATTTCCCTGTTTCTAGTTTCTTCTCTTCTTTTCATGTCCAGTAGTGTTTTTTCCCCCCTTTTTTAATCCTTAGTAGATGTCTTGGTGCAATGACTACCCTTCTATGCCTGCAATATCTGCAACTCTGCAATATCTGCAATTCTTCATAGATTAATTTCTCTCAGAATATACCGACTCCCGCCTACATACGCTATCTTTGGTTTACTCTTGTCTGTTTACCCTAGCAAATGCACAAAGAATTTGCAACGAGGAAAATAAACTCAATAATAACAGAGAAGAAAAGGTGTTTGCATAGGATAGAATGAACGAACTAACGAGAAGAACTGCCACGTGCATCGACCTCTTCCTTCAGCTTTTTTTCCTTGATGCAATTAAAAAATAGACGTTTATATATTTTTTTCCTGTAATAATTATAACATTTCCCCCTTAATCTCTATGTCACTATGTCATTATGTTGATCTCACCTCCCCTTTCGATAAACGCATTCTGTGTGCTGTGTTATTGTTGCTGTTAATAGTTTGTTTGTTTAATGATAAATTTAACATTTTAAATTCAATTTCCTTTATTGCATAGCGGTTACTGAGCTAAAAAAAAAAAAAAAAAAAAAAAACGGACGCATCGGAAGGACGACCATAAATTTACGGTTGACTCACATAAACTTGCAAACCCTATCTTGGCTGAATGATAAATGAAAACTTTCCTGGTCAAACACATCGCACTACACGGGGGAATGTGGAAGCTAGCAGGAATATTTATTTTATCCTATTTATTATTATTATTATTATTATTATTATTATTATCATTATCATTATCATTATCATTATCATTATTATTGTTATTGTTATTGTTATTGTTATTGTTATTATTATTATTATTATTAATATCATTATTATTATTATTATTATTATTATTATTTTGCAACATTTCTATTCTATTTATTTCTATTCTCTGGAAATACAGATATCACGCTCTGAGATATCTCTAGACTTAATAACAGGATAGAAAGGGAATAAAATGTCTATAATAAAAACAAAATACAATTGAAAGTAATTCTTTTAATAATCGATCAAACGATGCAACGCAAGAATAGTGAGAAAAAAGATAAACGTCGTCATGAAAATTAAAACATGTCAGTGGACTCTATTCACGCAAGTCATGAAGGGGGGGGGGGGGACTTACTTTTGTGAGCTGAAGTTTTGAGTTGGTTCTGTCCAAGAAGTTGTCACGCATTTATTTTTTCCTTATTGAATGATATGTTAGGTTTTGGGAACCTTGGAGATATGTTTTTTGGACTATCAAAACTGTCCTGTTTATTGTCGAGTTCTGAACTGCATTTTGATTTTTTTTTTCTGGGAATTGGATATTGATATAGGAATGTAGAGGTTCTTGATCATGGAATTTGCGGGAAAAAATCACCCCCCGAAATCGCGCAATTAAAAAAGAAAAAAAAAGAAAAAAAACATATATATAAATATAATAATAATAAAAAGAAACCGCTGTATTCCTGTTACCATGGCGACCACTTAATCCTCTATAAATCCTACTAGGTTGTCTATAGGTAAAGTAAAATCCATGGAAACGATTACCATAATAAGCTTGGGGACGACCCTAGAAATCATGAACAGGAGCAGTTTTCATGTCAAAGGCATGACAGGTATATTTTCACTTGAAAGTCTAATAGGAACAGAACAACAGTCGGTTACCCTGTTTCATGGTAATCATGTTATTGCAAAAATGAGACCGAAATAAAATTAGACGAAAGTATTAGAAGTCAAAATAAAGTTGGAGTAAAAATAAAACTCATTTCATTAAAAGGGGAAAAAAAAACGAGTAGTGTCTGCACATAACCGCGGTAATTACATTTTAAGACTTAAAGAAGATTCCAATACTTTGATTGCAAAGTAAGCTACGGGCATTTACCGAATCCCGAGCACTTATTGTAAAGGCTCATGGCACTTATGTTTTGGCATTAGAGTCACAGTAAACGATGATGACCAAATGTTTCATAATTATATTTGGTCGGTTGTCAGTGTCACCCGAGGCTTTGTATTAAAAGAAAAAAAAAATACAGACAAATTCCTTCAAGTTTATAAAAAGATATATGGAAAAAAAGATACTGATGATGTATCTAAGGGTAACATGCTCCCTCTAACCTAAAACTAATTATTATACCATTTCAAAGCTCGCGCTTACATCTTGGGAGTGTTGAAGCTGTAGTGCATCTATACAGGGCCGGATTATCCTATAGGCTAGTATAGGCTGCAGCTTAGGGCCCCTCAAGCTTGGGGGCCCCAAGCTTGAGGGGCTTGGTTATAAAATATCTGTTTTTTTCACTACGGTTGTGCTGAAATATAGTAAAATAGTGGTATTTAAAGAATATTTTTATTGACAAACAAAAGATAGCTATGCTAGTTTATTTAAAGAATTTGCAATAAGTTTACTTCAAGCTATGTAAATGTCGCTAAAATATATCACAAGTAAAAAATATTCTGAGGGGGTCCATAAGCTATATATTAGCTTAGGGGCCCCAAAAGGTCATAATCCGGCCCTGCATGTATATATATATATATATATATATATATATATATATATATATATATATATATATATATATATAAATATATGTGTGTGTGTGTGCATGTATATATATACATATATATATATATATATATATATATATATATATATATATATATATATATGAATATATACATATATATGTGTGTGTGTGTGTGTGTGTGTGTGTGTGTGTGTGTGTGTGTGTGTGTGTGTGTGTGTGTGCGTGTATGTGTGTGTGTGTGTGTGTATGCGTGTGTGTGTGATGTGCATGCGTCTGTGTGTATATAGAATGTATATATATATTGAGGGGCACTCATTAAAACTTTTCCCAGACTCACTTACCGTGTCTCATCATCTTGGAAACGTTTGCCCCTCATGGACGGAAAGAGGTGAAAGTCACATGATGAAAGGTCAGGAGATTACGGAGAATGAGGAAGGATGTCCTTTCGTCTGGGCAATGTGAGAGTTGTGAACGAGGGCGTTGTGATGTGGAGGGCGGGCACCTATCAAAACGGACACTCTCCGTTTTGATAGCTTCCCGAACTATATGTACTATATACATGTAGACACACACACACACACACACACACACACACACACACACACACACACACACACACACACACACACACACACACACACACACACACACACGCACAGATATGTATGTATATATATATATACATATATACACAAGTGTGTGTGTGTGTGCATACACACATGTACATGAACGGTTGCCTACATTTTAACAAATTCAAGGAAGCCATTTGCGTTTCTAGATAACATCAGCGTTGAGAGTATTGACACACTTTGGTCATTCTGATATTCCCTAAGCCTTCAAGGAAAGATTTTCTGCGAAGTGAACAGCAGAAGACAAGTGTTTCCAGGAAGAGCACACAGTGGAAGATAACAGTGTCGGCTTTCTGATAAGGGATGTTAAGACCATAGCCTCGTTATACTGTAGAAAGACCAAAGTATAGCCATGAAATCCAAGGGAATTGGGGAACGTGATCTTTTTGGAAAATTTCCGAAATAATCGTGGAAATAATGGTTGACACTTTTATTCCTCATGGCTTAGTCTTCCCCACTCCCCTTCTCTCCCTCGTCTAAGTAAGCGATTTAATGTTAATGTTATTATTCTTGACTTTAGCACCGTTCTTGACCTCTTTACCAGAATTACCAACGCTTCGTTATAATTAGCAGATTTATTGTTACCCTCAATTATTCTAGTTATTATTAATATCACTTAGTATTTTGATATTGAAATAATTCCAGTAAATTAATGCAAAGGAAAAAAATAGTACTCATATTTTTCTGGTATTTCATCCACTTTAAATGATTGTTAGGTAGTCATATTTTTTTATATTTGATATACTAGTATCTATAGATGTAGAGAACTGATATCTGCATGCCTGTGGGTTGGGGTGCATGGAGGTTTGAGAGTGCTTGGGCCTCTATTCTTTTTATGCATTTTAGAAGTGTCTTTCTAGTCAAAATAAGGCTTTGCAACGCGTTTCAAAAAGAGCACTTTAGGTTTCAGTGGTGCAGGATCACATGAGACGAGTTTATATTTCTTTGGTGACGAGTAGGCAAAAGAACATGAACTGGGGCGGAGCCTTATTCCGAGGGACTTTCTTGGTCAGTGGAAGTCTTTCCGAACTCGGGACTCGAACCCGTGTGCTAGACGGCCCTCGTGGTCTCGAGCCGCATGCCTGTCCACAGACGAACAAATGACGTGAACTCATCTACACTAAAATCTACTTTCGAGAAGGTTACGTACCCCCCCCCCCCACCTAACGGTTGTAATTAAAAGATTTTCGCCACAAATGCTGTATTAATCCATCTCTTGGCGTCATCTTGAAGGTTTCTGTTACCCTCTGGGATCTTTCTTGGCCTTGAATTTGCATTGATAATGAATCTTTGAGAAGTATTTACAATAGTGCCCTGTTATAGGATCCCTCCCAGACGTTGATTACCTCGCGGTGATCTCTGAAATCGAATTTCATCCGTCCCTGAAAATGAAAGTAATCTCCGTCTAATATGATATATGCAAATAGGGAAAGGCGCGACCTACTTCACACCCGCACAAGCCCTTTATTAAATCTCCGAAGGTGGAAGAACGTCTGTCTCTCTCTTGCACTCTTTATTCTCTCCATTCCTCCCTCTCTTTTCGCTCGTGTTTCTATCACCCGCCCTCGTGTTCGCATGACACCTACATTCCTCCGACTTTTCCCCGAGTTCCCCCTTTCCCCTTTTCAATCCCCTTTTCCGCTCGTCACTCTCCGCGTCTCTCTCCGTGTTTGCCGTTTCATCGTCTCCCCTCAACTGCCCGATCCCCTCACACTTTCCTTCTCCCCCTCTGCCTCTCCTCGCCCCCTCCTCCTCACTTCCCCTTCCTTCGGGGGCGACTTAAAGAGAAAAAAAGAAAGAAAAAGAAACAACTTACCGTGTCCTTTATATTTGCGAAACTCCTTAACGACCCTCACCGACAAGGCCTCGATATCAGCGAGAGAGAATTTCAGCAGCTCTCGTCCGCATCGTTGCCCTAAATTGGTGTTTATTAAGAAAAGACGAAACTGGATGACCTAGTTACTCTCACAATTAATTAACTCATATACGCTAAAGAGTTTTTTAACGTCGAGTCTCCTTCACGCAGATGAAATATGGCCTTCAGAGTCGTGTTATTCTGGCCAAATAAGTGGCTATAATTACTTTGTGATTAAAGGTCTTTTGGGTAATCGTTAGGCGCTAAAACGAGGGATCTAAACGCAGTCTTTTATGTTATTTCTGAATGCCTTGCTTTGTAGAGAGGAATGGGGTATAATTTCTTCTAATAACATAAATGCACGCTTGCATTTACCCTAAGCAGGTTATAACATTTTTTTTGTCTTATGGGGGGGAGTGTGTGTGGGGGGTGAGATCGTGAAGGAAACGAACGTATGTATTTTGAAAATTTTATCAAAATATATTAATACAAATATAACTCTTTTTTTTTTTTGGTATGATTCAAGATTTGCGCTTTTACGTTTACCCGCAGAATATATTTTTGTGTCTCGCTTTAAGTAAGAATAAACTTATTTTACAATCGGTATTTTAGGCTTATCTTACCTAACTTGGTTTTGGGAGACGCAAATGCTAGGCATAAAATTTGCTTATTTTGCGCTTGCCGATTTGGAACTTTTATTGCTGGCGGGACAAGGAAAAAGGGGAAAGAGGTTTTTATTGCACCATACACTTTGCATTTGCATCTGCTATCTTCTCTGCTGACCAGTTCGGCTGTTTGGTATTTTCAGTTTTACTCTTTTCTCTAGTGCTGTTGCGTTGTGGATTATCAATAATTGATTATTATCATCACTTTCAGCACATTTATTATGAGTGTATATATATAGATGAATAAATATATATATATATATATATATATATATATATATATATATATATATATATATATATATATATATACACATATATACATGTGTGTGCGTATATATGTATATGTATATACATATACGTATGTATATATTTGTGTATATATATGTGTGTGTGTGTATGTATATACATATGTATGTATGTGTATATATATATATATATATATATATATATATATATATATATATATATATACACACATGTTATATATATATATATATATATATATATATATATATATATATATATATATATATGTATATATATATATGTATGTATGAACCGTATTCATGTTGACAGAAAAGGTATGAGTGAGAATGAATATATTCACACACACACACACACACACACACACACACACACACACACACATATATATATATATATATATATATATATATATATATATATATATATATATGTATATATGTATATATATATATATATATATATATATATATATATATATATATATATATATATATACACACATGCACACTATATATGCATATATATACATACATACATATATATATATATATATATATATATATATATATATATATATATATATATATATAGATAGATAGATAGATAGATAGATAGATAGATATACATATATATATATATACATATATATACACACATGCACTATAGTTGTAATAGTTGTAACCGTGTAAGCACCTACACACAGTTACAATTCCACCCCCTTCACCCCAGCGCCTGCCTCACCCCGCCCCCTCTCCCCCCCAGAGATGGCCCACCGGCGATGCACGGGCGACGGGCAGTGGCAGGGCCGGGTCCTCGACGCCGGGCCCGAAGACCCAACCGAGGGCTGGTCCAACTACACCATGTGCTTCATCCCTGAGATCCGGCAGCTCATGGATAAGCTTTACGCCAGTTCTGAGGAGGACGCCAAG